CTTTTCCAAGGTTCAGAATTTCGTCCCAGAACAGATGACACTACATACTTATAAACCTCGCCATTCTCTATTCTAAATAAGGGGTGTTTAGCGGGAAAATTCAGAACTGTTTCTTTCAGCCTTCTATACCACACCTCAGAAGTATCAGAGAATTTCAACTCGGTCCTCTCTTGGATCGAATCGACGGCCTCGAACGATCTCGAAAGTAAGTTAGGCACAACGTTCTCACAGCCTTTACGATGTTTAACGACAAAGTCGAATTGTTGCAATCTAATTGCCCATCTCGCGATACGCCCAGTAGGAACTTTCAACTTTAAAAGCCAAAGGAGAGAATAATGATCAGTAACCACCGTGAACGGGACTCCCTCAAGATAAGGTTTCAGCTTTTCCGCAGCCCAAATCACTGCCAAACACTCGCGTTCTGTGGCCGAGTAGTTACGTTCGGCCGGACTTAATGACCTACTCAAGTATACCACCACTTGTTCACCATCCTCACCAGGTTGCAACAACACGGCACCCAAACCAACACCAGAGGCATCCGTGTGCAACTCAAAAGGCAGCGAATAATCAGGACATCGCAAGATTGGAGCAGATACAAGCTTTTCCTTAATGATTCTAAAAGATCTTTCACATTCATCCGTCCATTCAACTGGCTTATTCTTTTTCAGTAGGTTCGTAATCGGAGAAATCAAAGTCGAGAATTCGGGAATAAACCGTCTATACCATGAAAAGGTACCAAGCATACGTCTAACATCTTTCTGACACCTAGGAACAGGAATCTTAAGCATGGCGTTAACCTTTTCAGGGTCTACGTGAAGTCCGTATTTATCAACGACGTAGCCAAGGTAACGCAATTCAGATCTGCACAACCTACATTTATCCCAACTGACCCTCAATCCAGCAGCGAGCAATCTCTCAAACACACTCGACAGAACCTCAAGATGTTTTTCAAAGGTATCGGTAACAATAACAACGTCGTCCAAATAAACGAACACATTAGGTTCCAACTCAGGACCCAAGACCCTATCAACAAGCCTTTGCCAAGTGGCAGGAGAATTGTGCAAGCCAAAAGGCATACGTGTAAATTGATATAGCCCTCTACCGGGCACCGTAAAAGCAGTAAAAGCCTTAGAAGCATCCTCCATGGGGACTTGCCAAAAAGCAGACTTAATGTCCAGGGAAGACAAAAACTTTGCGTTCCTGAGTTTATCAAGAGTTGCGGAAATATACGGGAGCGGGTAACTATCACGTTCCGACACCGCATTCAGACGACGATAGTCAACACAGAATCGATATGTGTTATCTTTCTTTCTCACTAACAGGATTGGGGAAGACCAGGCACTCATTGAGGGCTCGACAACACCCTGCTCTAACATGTTATCAAGTTCCTTATTAATGTGTTGCTGCATAACCGGAGAAACGGGATAATAGCGTTGTTTAATGGGATCAGCAGAAGTTCTAATTACGTGACTCACCAAGTGAGTACACCCTAAACCGTCACCCATTTTAGCTTTAAAAGAGTTAACCATGGTTTCTAAAAGTTGCTTATTAGAAGGGGACAAATCATCATCAAGAGAATCTATCTCGAAAACAGTCTCGCGCGCGAAATTCCAAGAGTCATTTCTAAGGTCAGGCACTACTCCAACGGACTTGAAAAAATCAACACCCAAAATAAGGGTTTGGGGAAGTGTAGGTATCACCAACATGTCAATAAGGGTAATTCTGTCCTTCAAAGTAACCGGAACCGTAACCACACCCAAACTCTCAACCAATTGTCCATTAGCTATTCTGACCGAAGAACTAACGCGACGACAATGAAATCCTAAATCGGACACGACTTTCCATCCCACACCTCCTAATATAGTTCTAGAGGCACCAGTGTCTAACAAACCTAGTAACTCTCTACCTAATATCGATATTTTCAGATAAGGCCTTTCATCCTTCTTACAACCATCCAAAACGAACTCCAACACAGAAGAAATCCTATCAGCCGGTTTTTCGTCTTCAATGTCAATTAGCCGGCGACCTAGTGACGACGATTGGCATTTCCCGAAGACTTCCTATTACCATGGGAACATTTAGGACAATTTTTTGTAGTAAAACCCTCATTTCCACACTTAAAACAATGCAGTCTCTTGGGACTAGGACAACCACGAGCCATGTGACCCAAAACTCCACAATTGAAGCACTTAACAGGACTTGACTCAACCGCAGAAAAATCTGAACTTTGGGGGTAGCTCACGCAACCTAAGTAAGCTAATTCGGGTTCCAAAGTCTTATTACGAATTTTAGGAGGCTGAAATTCCTTTACGGCGCGCCTAGACTCCTCTAACTGCTTACACTTGACCTTCAAATCAGAAACCTTATCAATAGTGTGAAGAGCTAGTTGGGTTTGAAAATAAGGTAAGAGGTTCTTACGGATAAGCTTAACCTTCGCCTCCTCGGAAAGTGGACAAGTGAGTCTACCGAATAAACCTAACATATTGACGACGTAGATTGCAATAGGCTCTCGCTCACCCTGGGTTCTATGACGTATCTCATCCAACAATTGTTCGTTGTAGTCGTAGGGCGGGACCCTCAAATAAATCAAGAGCCGACACAAAAACTTCTCGAAGAGAAACACCTCGAGCTGCGGACAATTCATGTACTCGTTCTAAAAACGCTCCCACCGATATACCAGTCCTTCCAGAAAATTTAAGGTCCCATTTATGTATAGGAATAGCCTTAGAAGACATCAAAGGTGGAGGACTAGTTGTCACAGGGGTAGATGGAGCAGCGCCCCCGCCCAAAGATACGTTCAGGGATCTTTCAAGGGCTTTCAACTCAGTTGGCCTAGAAACGGAAGCAATGGAAGCCTTCATTAACTTATCCTTCAAAGACAAAGCCTCACGGAGAACAACGGCACGATCCTCACATAATTCATTCATACGCCTTATTCGCCCCAAAATATGCCAAATCTTAGTTTCAACCTTCTTAGCATTCTTAGATCAAAAATCATCTAACAATGTGGTAATTTCGGCCAGTTTGTCCCTAACCGCTAACAAATCTTCCTCCTCTGTGTAAGAGTTATCTGGGTAATCGTTGACTAAATCAGGGTTAAGTTTCTCTTTCTGTAGTAAAGAAGCAAACAACCTACGCATCTCATCAACACTAGAGGGATCCAAACCTCAGACAGCAAATTCGTAACTCAATTCTTCCTTAGAAAGGTAATTAACCGTGACCTTAAGAGCCATCCTAAAAGAGTTGATCTCTCCTTGAACCAGAGAAGAGATTGGTCAAATCGAAAACAGGGAACCGAAGAGTCGAAATAATTGGAATGGAGTTAAGACACAAACCGATAAAATTAAGGACTTCCAAGACAATACGACGAGGGCTCCAAAACGATATGGGCCTCCAAAATGATAAGGGCCTCCAAAGTAATCGGGCCCCACGTTGGCCGCCAAAAATGTGTGACACTTCTTTTTAAACAAGCAAAAGGGCAAACAAAACACCAGACGATGTCAAGGTTACGTAAAGGTTTACTTACCTCAGCCAGCCTTTAGACAGTGGAGACGGCGTGGATTTAAAGTAATATTCAAAGATGTTAATGGGCGCCACGGACTTATATAAAACCTTTACGAACGTACTTGACCACACCCTAATCAAGTCCGAACTTAGAGTTACAGAAAGGAATGAGAACAAATAACCAACAACCACATTTGGAACTGAAGAAAGAGTATCTATATTATATGTAATCGTAGAAAAACATTCATGTATACACATGTAAATATACGTGGGTATATAAAAAAATATGTAATGACAATTGGAACAAAGTTCTCAAATTATAAGAATAAAGTTTATACAACTTAACCAAAATGTTGCTGTAATCGCATACAAAAAAAGAAAATATAGCACCCCCCTGTATCGTAAGTTACACAATTACGATCCTAACTTTATTTAGAATAAATGAACACAAAAAAAAAAAACATTATCGCGAAAACTTTTCAGATTGGCCAATTTGAACAGTAAGGGGATATCAAAAATAAACGATAAAAAAATTATAACCCCAAATGCAATTACCCTTACAAAAATGTAAATAATAAAAAATACTTTGAATTATCAAGACAACAAAAAAGTTAACAATTAATATATCAGATTTTAGAAGTTGAGTAACTCTAACTTCTCTGATCAAAATTCAGATTTTATACAAAAAAAATAATAAAGTTGATGTTCACATAAAACAAAAAAAATACAACTTAGCCTTAATCTTCTACGGGCCCAAACAGCATCCCACGGTTCCAATTCCAATCCAATTCAGAATAATCTTCTCCAAACAGATAACAAAGGTACCAAAATATTGAGGTTATGGATGACCCAAATCTGTCATCAACAGATTTCAAATGACTTTCAAACGACTTTCGATGGCGCAGTTTCAAGATGACGTTCTAAAAATTCTTCCACTAAAATTCTTTACCAAGGGGAAGATGATCTCGTCGATTGGTGGGTTGATAATCGTTCAACACGATTAAGACATTCCACGGAGGACCAAAACTACCGTAAACGCCTCCAATAAAATAACCTTCGTTGAAACGATGATGGCGTCGCTGTTAACGTACGTGATCCAGTTTTATATCCGCAATTGCGACGTCGAAATTTATCGACTAATAATAGATACGGAAGTCCACAAATCCCATCAAATGGTCGAAGAACAATCCCAGTAACAACCAAACTCAATGATTGATTCTTCAAAAGGACTAAACCATTCTAAAATTTAACTGAACCACTAACGACAGTGAGACAAGATCTTCTCGAGACCACGACCTTTTCTCGTCTCTCCCAGATCGCGACCGGAAATTTAACGTTCCGCATTCATCCGACCAATCAAAAAGAAACACGCAACAACTCCACTAAAAAAAGGGCGAACTATTAGAATATGAATACGAAAAAGAACGATTTAAAGAACGAAATCTAAGAAATTCAATAACCTCAAACGGAACCGTTACAGCTTCTCGATAACATCCTCACAATTCACTATTATTAACGATTACGAATTGGTTTGATCCCCCTTCACTATCCCTAGAAATCAAATTCACCGTATCCATTCTAAACTCCTTATTCATAATATGAACATCTTTTAAATGGTTCTCATAATCCTCTAGTAAAAAGAAACATATATTACAATAATCACACATCTTGTTGTGTCCGTTTTCATGATTCAATCTAGTCTCATTTATGGCAAAACATTTTGAACATTGCTGGCATTCATATGGTAGATACTTTTTACATAAATTTAGATGTAACATAATCTCTTCAATAGTAATTGAATTTGAACATCGTCGGCAAGTAATCTTGTTATTTGATTCAAGGTGTTCTTCTAAATGTTTTCCTAACTGAACATAAGTTGGATATTCGTCATCGCAAGAGGTGCATTTAAAAGGATTGGGATCGTGATGAATCATTTTAGAATGAACCATTAAATCAGTTTCTTCTTTTGAGATAAAATTGCAGGATGAACAATATAAATTTATGTTTCTATCTTGTGGTTTAGTTGAAGAGTTAGGTTTAATTGTATGAAGATCGGTGTTCTTAATTCCATTTATTGCTATGTTTTCTAAATTGATATCATTCTCTAGAGTTTCGATTGCAGAAAATATTTTTAAACAATTATCACATTCTTTATGGCACATATAGGAAGAAATAGATTTAAAAATTAAGAGATCTGGATTATCCTCATCATTAAATTTATGTGTTAAGATTGTTGTTTCATTATCTTGAAAGGATTTTCGATGTGGTGGCATATTTATCGCAAACTCTTTGGTGATATCACGAGTAAGGTGAATGTCTTTTTGAGGTAGAATATTGTTTGTAACCATACTATTTTCCAATTAATAATAATGTGTAGACCTTCACCAAAGAAAATGTGCTTTGTAACTTGTTACAAATCAACTTGATTTATTCCGTAACATGGTTCTGTAATGAAAGGGCCTCCAGGATAGTTGTAACTGTCAGATACGTCATCTAGGAATTGGTAAAGAAAGCAGGGGAATTCATTTAGTAGAAAGTATACATTCATTGGGTAGAAATTATTCATGCATTTAGTAGAATAAGAAAATGAATTGTCATTGTCACTTTTNTCATCCGACCAATCAAAAAGAAGCACGCAACAACTCCACTAAAAAAGGCGCGAACTATTAGAATATGAATACGAAAAATAACGATTTAAAGAACGAAATCTAAGAAATTCAATAACCTCAAACGGAACCGTTACACTTTCCGCGTTATTAGAGCGTTCGTGTGAGTTGGTAGAGGTTCGACTCCTTCTGGAGTTATCACGTGACCGAGGTAGTTTATTTTATTTGTCCCGAACACGCACTTTTCCACTGATAAACGCAATCCATGGGATTGTAACCGTTCAAAAGTGAGCCGTATATGTCTTTCGTGATTTGGTTGTGCCGACGGTAGTCGATACAGAACCGGTTTCTTCTTGACGAGAACTATGGGGGATGAGTAGGCGGAATGGTTTGCTTCTATTACGCCTTTTGCTAGTAGTCGTTCGACTTCGCGTGCTATAAATTCCTTTTTAGGCGCTGGGCAGCGGTACGGTGGCGCACGGAATGGTCTTGCCCCCTCGGTTAGTTCTAGCTTATGTTCGGTGGTGGTTGTTGTGCCCGTTGTGGTTTCGTCGAAGACTTCACCGTCTTCAGAAACGTGCTTTGGTGTTCCTGCGGAAACATCTGCTTAATGGAGCTGGTGTCGATCACGTGGCGAGACGGTGCATGTGTGCTTCGTTCGAACCGCGTTGATAATCCAACGTCACATTGTCGCTGAAGAGCCATGGGTCGCCTAAAATAACTGGGCTGGTAGGACGGGGACCGTAACGCTGACAGCGATGACACTGACCAACTTCCGTCTTCTTTTTAGCGCTCTCGACGGTAATGGTTAATCCCTTTACCGTCTTGAGGTCGAAAATCCTCTTGGCGTCCGCGGTCTTTTTCAAGACGCACAGAACCAGGGGAATTGGCCTCCGTTCAGAGCCCTGGCGCAACCGCTTCACGGTTTCAGGCCAGAATTCCTGTTTTCTTAGGTCGGCAGCGATGCTGTCCTCCCCAATACTGGTAGGGACGCCTGTAAAGACAACCTTTAACGGCTTATCATCGGGGAGGGCAAATGTATGGTACTGGTGTTTACCAGCCATCAACATTTTCACCAAAGCGCGGTAGGTTTCCATGGTGGGGAGCTCTATCTTGATTCTTTGCGGAACCGCTCTGGCTTTCGAGAAGGCGATCCTAAGTCTTGGCATCTCCGCCGAAATCGAATCCCAGTTCTTCTTAGCGTGAAGGATTACCGGGGGGATCCGCTTGGAAACTGGTTCCATGCGGGGACGCACCGCCTCCGAAGGTTCTTCCTCCAAGTCGCTGCTCGCCTTCCTTTTCCCTGCGGATTTGGATGGGTCGACTGCTACATCGACGTCCATTTCACCCGTTGGGACGGAAGTCAGCGCCTCAGCGAAGGACCTCGGTTGGGTGGTGGTCGCCGCCTCAACGAGAGAGGCGTTGCGGCCTACCGCGCTGGTCGTCGCCTCCACGGGGGAGACCGTACGGCCTGACGATTTGGTTGCCGTCTTCAACGAGGAAGGCGGTCGGCCTGACGTTCTGGCTGTCGTCTCCACGGGGGAACCGGAACTTACCGGGCGGGCTTTTTTAGTTACAGCTTTCGCCGGGAAAGGCAGACGGCCTGACTTTTTGGCTGCCACCTCCACTGGGGAGACGGAGCTAACCGAACGTGAAGTTTTGGTCGCCGCGACAATGTGGCATTTATTTTAAAAGGCATTTCTGCCGATTAAAATATGAGGCAACAACTCAGTTTCCCTTGCAGGAACAAACCCTAAAAAGGGCGCTCTTAGTTTCGAAAGAAACTTACCTACTCCGGATTACGCTTTGACGAGGTCACCCAAGTAGAACATGAACTTTCCCCTTCCTTCGCTTTCGCAGCAGGACGGACGAATTTTTCAACTTCTCTCCAGGCGATGTTGCACCCCTCAAGGCACTACACGGACTCTATCGCAGACAAAATCATTACATTGTCACTATATACCGCCTTTGGAAGCCGACCGGCCGGCCACGCCCACCTACTCCCGATTGGTCAGCGCTTGTTCGCTTCGCTTTAAATTCATATATATTATTTTGTATTTGTTCACCTCTTCCCCCGGAAGAGATCGTTATTACGATCGATAAACGATCTATGGTGACATCCAATAATCAATCGCTAGCTCTCTGGTGTGTGTCGTAGTGCCCAATATTTTTCTACATCGTTTCTTGGCACGTTAACCAACCGATATACATTCTTATTCTTTATCTTTAACGATATTCATTTAGCTATTATTATTTTATTAATCAATATAATTATATTTAATTATTCATCTTTTTTTATTTACTCTTTTCTTAAATTTTTGGTGTGACCAGCACCTTCTTTTGAATCGCCGACTTATTCGTGCGAACAGCGCTGGAGGGGCAACCAACTGGTCGCCCTATATAACGGGGAGAAATCCGACTGGGATTCATTCCGTCCGGAACCTGCTCGAAGACAACGTTTATTTACGATTACAAACTTTTATTTACGATACGATTATTATTATTATATTCCATCTGTAAACTACAGCAAATATATTCTAATTGTTGAATATTACACCACTCTTTCATTCCTGTCAACGATCCTGGTAGTAACATCTAAACTGGTTCAACGCATAAATGATTCAAAATGTTTCTCGGTAATTGCGAACGAAACAACGGATGTCGGTGGGATCGAGCAGCTTTCAATTTGTGCTCAATATGTGCGTTATGTATCTACAAATTATCAAATTTGTGAAGACTTTCTCTGCTTTGTTCCGGTTGTGGATGTCACTGGAATTGGTCTAGCAAATACGATATTGACTTCCTTGAGAGAGTTAGGTGTGAATTTAAATTTGTTAAGAGGACAAGGTACATTTTAAATATTTGATCATCATCAATACATACAGATATTTTCTATTTATTTATTCTTCAAAATATTTTTTAAGGATACGATGGAGCTCGTTCTATGAGTCGGGAACAAAAGGGGTGTCCTGCCATTATTCAAAAGAGTCATCCCAATGCATATTATGTTCATTGCGCTAACCACGACCTAAATTTGGCTATAACCCACGCGTGCAAAATACCACCCGTCAGGAATTGCATAACAACTGTGAAAGAAGTAGTAAATTTATTTCGGCAGTCTACCAAAGCAGGCCAGGTATTGAAAGAAAGAATAAAACATTGTTGTCCCAGCGTAAAACAGACGAGACTTTTAAAGTTGAAACTCGGTGGGTTGAGCATTTAAATTTATTAAATCTTTTTTACGAGCTCTTCGAGCATACTTGTTTTGGGTTAGAGGAGTTAAATAACAACAACGTAATGACAGATGGTCTGAAACCTCATGCTTTACTGTCTTCTCTGCAAACATCACAGTTTATTGTTGCGTTGATAGTTATTAAGCCAATTTTTGCATTGACAAAGAATGTCAGTGTGCAACTGCAGGAAAAATGTTATCTCAGCCGCTGCTTGGACTTTTCCAAAGCAGTTTACGAAGAAATAGGCTGCATGCGTCGAAACGCAGAAGAGGAGTTCAAAAATATCTTCCAGTTAGCCCAAGAAATGGCAAATAAGGTTGGGGTACTGATAGAAGTGCCTCGAAGAGTTGGACAAATAAACCGCGACAATTACTTGGGAGAACCAGAAGATTATTACAGATGCTCAATTTATATACTATTCCTTGACCATTATTTAGATCAAATAAATTTAAGGTATATAAAACACACAAATTTATTGGCAAAAATACAGAATATCTTGCCAAATATAGCAATAGGATTAGAGCCTGATGATATTCGACTCAAACGTTGGAAAAATATTGACCGAATGATTTTACACCTACTGATGATTTTGTTGCAAAGTTGACCATGTGGCGCAGGTACTACTTTTTTAAAGTGATCTTAATACAGGTTAGTAAATATGTTACACTTTCAGATACTGATTAATTTTTCATTTCATTAAGATTTGTGGGTTTTTAAATGATTTTCAAAGCGCAATGATTGATATTGGTTTATTTTATTGCTCGATGCAAAATTGAAAAATTGTATTTTATTTTTGTTTGAAAACATGCGGCGTGACGTCGAACTCGGAGAAACCCAGTTTGCGCGTGGACGATTGGTGAATTTTTCTGAAAAGAAGAGTTGAACGAAAGGTTTTGGGAAAGACGTTCGTTTAGAGTAAAAATGTATTACTTATTAGAAAAAGGGAATTTATTGAGCGATTATTCTATCCCAGTGTAGTGTGGTGTGTTTTTGAGTATTTTTGTTGAGCATCATCACCATTCGCTTATGCAGAAGTTATAACCTTTCGGAAAATATATGTGGAAACCGACCAACAACTAAGGTTTGTACACCATCTTGGCGTGAATTATCGATATATCTGGAAACAAAAATTAATTTAAATATATTTAACTGTATCTAGGTTTCAACTTATACTAGTTTTCAAGATAGGAGCTTCGAATTTATAAAACTACTATTCTACTAATGTTCGAGTACTCACCGTACTTAATTAATCAGAAGCAGATTAATTGGAGATCTTCATAAGTGTTAACGTCATCGCTAGCGTGGTATCCTAGTGAACCTTGGTGGAGATCTTCTACTAAAAAATAATAATAATAATAATAACATCCAAATAACAAGAAGATAAATCAGATAAGTGAATTTAACAATTTTAAATTACGAATAAACTTACCTGTG